ACGGCTGCAGACAAGAGATCTGCAGCTATTGCAACCCATTTTTTTTTTTGCTTGTTAGATATAGCCTCTATGAAATAAGAATGCATGCATGTTTTCATTGGGCATAACTACCAAGCAGTGTTTATTTTTGTATTTGGAGAGTAGAGTGTCCCTATAAGCCTCAATGAGAACTCGCTGTTGGTGAATTGTCCCTTTTATAATGTCCTGGGAGTTAGTCATTTTTTGTTTGACTTTTTGCCCTTTGGATATTCTATAATAAATACGCCTTTATTCACTCTGTGGTTTTATCATCAACCAATTTTTTCTGTGCATTTTATCAATCCAGTTAAACATGAGAGCCCAAAAGGTCTTATATTGTGAGAACACTTCTAGACAGAATACAGCAGCATACACTGCAGTGTAAGTACTTCATTTTATTGTACCTTTAGAACAAAAAAAAAGTTATGCAAAAGTTCCTGGGATCTACTGTTTGTTAGTTAGAAATATACCACGCCTTATTTCATTCCTTGGACACATTCAAGCCACCAACTGGCTCCAATACATCTATATTTCTTTTCAAATCATTTTTATTGAAATATTTTGCAGAATTTACAAATAATAAAGAACAATATATTAGGGAAGGGAAAGGAAGGGTAAAACTGGGAAGTGGGGGATACATCTATATTTCTAAACCGAGTCTGTACTAAGGAGGGCAGCAGAGATGATTTTATTATAAAATGTTCAGTCTGTAATATAGAAGTACTGCTGTACCTGTTTCTTGAACTTTGTAACTTTTCCTTCCATGAGCCGCACACTTTTCGCTCTCCTTTCTCTCTCCTGTTTCACTTTCTTGAGAAATCTCCTCTTCTTGTTCCATTTTGGACCATAAATGGTGGCAACCAAGACGCATCCTACGGTAGCGAGGACTTTCCACTGCCAGTTATGCTCAGAAAGCACCTGCTTCCACTTGTCATGTAGAAGGCTGAGATCCATCCCCAACTGATACTTTTTGCTCCGAGTTGATGCTGAGTGTTCCAAGTTCTTAATATTTCTGGGAGGATCACCGTGTTATTTATTGGTGGGATAGAACCATCGACTCAACCTTGGGAATATAAAACAGGTGAGGTTTTAACATTCTGGATTCATGTTGAAACAAATTTTATAGCACAGTTATTGCTCAATGTAAAGATTAGCTTGCACAAAAACAGGAGTTTTACACATTACATAGACTATTATGCAATGCTTTAAAGTTGTTTAACCCCTTAGAAGGATTCAATGCTTTAATTTTGTCATATAAAAAAAATTAATACAATTTCGAAGTTTCTGATCATATAGGATCAATGGATTGATGCAGCTCTACAAATCGATAGCAGCCACACTGCAACTGCTTTCAGCTTAAAGGAACACTCCAGGCACCATAACAACTTCATTAAATTAAGTTGTTATGGTGCCAAGAGGTTCCTAAAGCTGGTGTTATGTCCGATTCAAACATACAAAATTAACACCTGAGCAGCAGCCATGACTATCTTACACATCAGGCTAATACATACAATAACAACCAAAGAAAAGAGTTACTTGCGCACTATCCCAAATCTATATGCACATTTAAATAAATGGAGGTTTTAAGGATCACTCCAATGGCCCTTAAATTCTAGGCTCACCTGCAAACCTCATAGGTGAGTCTTACACTAATAATTCGCCCTGCTGCTTTCAGCTCAAAGGCAAAATCTCTAATAAGACAAAGAGGGGTGCTTTTTCTAGTCTCCCTACACACTATGCAACTCTTAATAGGGAACACATGGGGTGTTTAGTAGCATTGTAATATGGCTGTGTGATGCAAATATGCAAAAATAAGCCGTGCGCTTAAACTCCCACTAATCCTGGGCGGCAGCAATGACTATAGTACACATCAGCCCCAATGAATACACAATAAAACCAAAGATAAAAGTTACTTGTGCACTATCACCACCACGTCAAGGCAAACCTTTTAGGGGAGTACTACACTAACAATTAACCTGCTGCTTCCAGCGTGAAGGTATTCTGAGTAAGTAAAGTTACTGTCACACTCCGCTTATAGTTAGGGGATTCACTGCAACACTGGGTACATTAAGGATTAAAATTAGGGTTATGAACTAAATTAGCCTCTCACTTCTTATTCTAACAATAAACCTAGAAGTAAGGTTAAAATTAACCCTGGACGTAATTATACATTTATGTTTTCCTATGTGTCAGTAATTTGTGAATAAAAAAAAAAAATGACTCCCTAATGCGAATCCTAATTTTAACTCTAACTTTAACCCTACATGTCCCAATGACACGAGGATCCTGAGGGAGGAGGAATTACGATGATTATCAATGTGTAAGGATAAACACATTCTAATAGGAAACTAAATCTGACAGAACACCAGCTTACCTTTACGAGTTAAAGTGTTCACGAGCTGTTTAAACCCAAAGGTTTCTCCCCAAGTTCTCTTTAAACACAGCTTGGTTTATAGTTTTGTGCAAATGACAGCAGACATGACTGCTGACCAGAATGCCCCCAACCACCCGTTGACCAATAAAGACACAATAACACTTGATATGGGTAAGGGCAACGGCCACAGCTTTATTAATAAATTCTTGCCAGCATCATAACTCTGTCAGCTGTTGGTTTGTTTCACCAACAGACAGCTCTATCCAATATGAACCACGAGTCCGGAGCAGCCTGCCCCAGCCATCAGCTCTCAGCAGGCTGCGACTCCCCAAGCCAGTTGGGCACTTTCTTCCATTTTAACTGCGCTGGCCAGGACTACCACGAGCTGTGACAAAACAAAGAAGAACCAACAGCACCCAACCTACAACACAAACATACATACTTGACACTGACTGGAGACTGGTTATTACCCTCCCCATTTACCCCTTCTTATGATGTCGGGTGGAAAACAGGGGAAAATCAAAAGGACCTGCCATGCGACCCCGCTGAACCTCGACGTCCAATTTGTCCTGGAGGACATCCTCCATACCCCTAACTGAGCGGAGGTTGTCCGCAAACTGGGGCGAGGAAGACTGAACAAACGGAATCCAGAAACCCCTCAAACAAGACCTGGGAATCGTTATGCCTAGGATACTGCACGAGCCACGGGCGCATCCTTACTATGTCCACCAGCGTCCTCTCCTCTTGGAACGTTTTTAACCTTTACCGATGAGCGGCTTGCCCTTTCTCAAGCAGAGCATCACCGAATGCGCTCCTCCGCAATGGACACATTCATGCCGGATCCTGCAGGAGCTGTACCACCTGCACTGGCTCTCGTTAAAGAGCCAACACACGCCTTTTTTGTGACCTGCCGACGAGCTGGAGCCTCCTCCAGCAGGCACGGGAAAGTGGGGCGGTCTACTAGGGGTCATGATTAACAGCCACAAGCTGCCGTCCTGGACACCAGGAAATCCATTCCAGGGCACGCTGCCATCTTTTGGCGGAACTGCTGGTCATAACAATACCAGCATTGCCTTCCGGCAAAACAGGAAATTATGTCAATGAGGCGGCGGCGCCTGATTGACGTCATTTCATGCTGTAACAGTACGTAAGTCAGTGCTCCCTCGCAGCCCTCCATCCCACGCACGCACCAGTGCCACCTTTACAACATTATGGGCCCCAAGGCAAAGCAGTGCACTGGATGCACACAGTCCGCTGCATACACGCACACACAGAATGCTCAATACGTAAAGACTGCTGAATACACACACTGCTGAATACACATACAGAGAGACTGCTGAATACACACATACAGACAGAATGCTGAGTACAGACAGACTGATGAGTACACACAAACTGCTGAATACATACACACAAACACACACATGCTGCATTGAGGGGTGCAGTGCATGTGTGTACGGGTGCGGAGTGTGTGTGGAGTGCTGTGTATGAGGGGTGGTGTGTGTGTGCAAGAGGGGTGCTGTGTGCGAGAGGGGTGCTGTGTGTGTGAGAGAGGGGGTGCTGTGCTGTGTGTGTGGGGATGTTGTGTGTGTGTGGGATTTGTGCTGTGTGTGTGGGGGGGTGCTGCTCTGTGTGAGAGGGTGCTGTGTGTGTGGGGGGGGTGCTGGGTGCCTGTGTGAGAGGGGTGCTGTGTGTGAAAGGGTGCTGTGTGTGTGTGAAAGGGTGCTGTGTGTGTGTGGGTGGTGTTGTGTGTGTGTGTGGGGGTGCTGGGTGCTCTGTGAGAGGGGTGCTGTGTGTGAAAGTGGGTGCTGCGCAGTGTGTTGGGGGTGTAGTGTGGGGGTGCTGGGTGATGTGTGTGTGAAAGGGGTGCTGTGTGTAGGGGGGTGTTCGTGTGTGTGGGGGGTGCTGTGTGTGGGGAGGTGTTGCGAAAGGGGTGCTGTGTGGGGGGGCTGCTGTGTGGTTTGGTGGGGGGGGAGTGCTGCAAATATATTATTACAATCTGTATCCCCCCTCCCTTCTGCTTACCTTATGTGAAGGAGGGGGACAAATAATAATAGTAATAATAATAATAAACACATTTATTGTAGTTTAAAGACACATTACTGGGAATATTATTGCTGTGAAGCTCTGTTATACACCCAGACACACCAACAATATGGAACACCTAGAAAAGAGGGACATTAAAACAGAAAAGAAGAACGGGGATTTTGACCCGAAATAGGGACTGTCCCTCCGAAATAGGAACACTTGGGAGGTATGTGATTGTATGTGTGTGACTTTGTTTGTGTGTTTGGGGTGTGATTGTCCATGTTTGACTATTATATAAGTGTGCTGGTATGTAAGTTTTTGTTTCGAAAATAAAAAATGTAGGAGCGGGCAGAACCGACTGAGCTAGCAGGAGGACGCATGGTGCTTGAGCTCCTGACGACAGCCGATGATCATATAATCGTTTTGTGCCCTTTTGCACCCCAAATGATTTCATTTGCCTCCCACCTGCTCCCATGATCCCTATGGGCCGGAGACAGAAGAAAAATGCTCAAAATAGCCAGCTGAACATGCTGTTATGGATTCCTTACTGATACGAAGGTCCTCACAGGCTTCACCTAAGATGGTGACCGAGGAACGCTTCAAATCGGAATACTCAGAGGACACCAAGGAAAGGAAGCCTGTGTCGAACACGAAACCTTCCTCCTACGGAACCAAAGGTTTCGTTGATGATACTACCCAATTTACTAAGGGGGACATCAAGTTTTTGTTCCGGGACTTCAAGCAGATGTTCCATGATGAGTTGGGAGACCTCCAACAAGAAGTTGATCTACCCCAGTGCAAACTTACCCTGGAGTCTGCCACGCATTTCCACCCGACAAGCAGAGTAAGGTCTTGGATAGGATTGCGGTTTTGGAATTGTCTGTGCAGTCCCTTCTCCTCCAGCAGAGAATTAGAAATGTGAGGATCAGGGGAATACCAGAGAGTATTGCACCAAAGGACTTGATGCAGTTTGTTCAGGGTCTTGTGGATTCACTAACAGTGTCCCAGGTGACGGGACCACAGCGGTGGATTGGGTATACAGAAAACTCAGGGTTATTGCAGGCCTTGGTGGACTCTCCTTGGGATGTGGTGACACAATTCACTGACATCGCATACAAAATGAAGATACTGCAAAAGGCCAGGACAAGGAGCATTTAGAATATAAAAAGAAAACAAGTAAACAACTGATACAAGTGGTCACAGTACACACACATATATATATATATATATATATATATATATATATACAGGTGATACTCGAAAAATTAGAATATCGTGCAAAAGTTAATTTATTTCAGTAATGCAACGTAAAAGGGGAAACTAATATATGAGATAGACACATTACATGCAAAGCAAGATAGTTCAAGCCGTGATTTGTCATAAGTGTGATGATTATGGCTTACAGCTCATGAAAACCCCAAATCCACAATCTCAGTAAATTAGAATATTGTGAAAAGGTGCAATATTCCAGGCTCACAGTGTCCCACTCTAATCAGCTAAGTAAGCCATAGCACCTGCAAAAGGTTTTTGAGCCTTTAAATCAGGCCTGTCCAACCTGCAGGCCCCCCAGATGATGCTGAACTACAACTCCCATGATTCTTCAAATTAAACAGATAGCCTGGGAATCATGGGAGTTGTAGTTTAACAACATCTGGGGGGGCCGCAGGTTGGACAGCCCTGCTTTAAATGGTCTCTCAGTCTGGTTCAGTAGGAATCACAATCATGGGGTAGACTGCTGACCTGACAGTTGTACAGAAAACCATCATTGACACCCTCCATAAGGAGGGAAAGCCTCAAAAGGTAATTGCGAAGGAAGTTCGATGTTCCCAAAGTGCTGTATCAAAGTACATTAATAGAAAGTTATGTGGAAGGGAAAAGTGTGGAAGAAAAAGGTGCACAAGCAGCAGGGATGACCACAGCCTGGAAAGAATTGTCAGGAAAAGGCCATTCAAAAGTGTTGGGGACTTTCACAAGCAGTGGACTGAGGCTGGAGTCAGTGCATCAATAGCCACCACACACAGACGGATCCTGGACATGGGCTTCAGACGTCGTATTCCTCTTGTCAAGCTGCTCCTGAACAACAAACATCGCCAGAAGTGTCTTACCTGGGCTAAAGAAAAACAGACATGGTCTGTTGCTCAGTGGTCCAAAGTCCTCTTTTCTGATGAGAGCAACTTTTGCATCTCATTTGGAAAACAAGGACCCAGAGTCTGGAGGAAGAATGGAGAGGCACACACTGCAAGATGCTTGAAATCCAGTGTGAAGTTTGCACAGTCTGTGTTGATTTGGGGAGCCATGTCATCTGTTGGTGTTGGTCCACTGTGCTTTATTAAGTCCAGGGTCAACGCAGCCATCTACCAGGAGATTTTGGAGCACTTCATGCCTCCTTCCGCAGACGAGCTTTATGGGGATGCTCACTTCATTTTCCAACAGGACTTGGCACCTGCCCACACTGCCAAAAGCACCAAAGCCTGGTTCAATGACCGTGGGATTACTGTGCTTGGCTGGCCAGCAAACTCGCCTGACCTGAACCCCATAGAAAAATCTATGGGGCATTGCCAAGAGAAAGATGAGAGACATGAGACCGAACAATGCAGAAGAGCTGAAGGCCGCTATTGAAGCATCCTGGTCTTCCATAACACCTCAGCAGTGCCACAGGCTGATAGCTTCCATGCCACACCGCATTGAGGCAGTAATTGCTGTAAATGGGGCCCAAACCAAGTCCATATGCATGCTTATACTTTTCAGAGGTCCGATATTGTTTTATTGATTGCATGTAATATTCTTATTTACTGAGATTGTGGTTTTCATGAGCTGTAAGCCATAATCATCGCACTTATGACAAATCACGGCTTGAACTATCTTGCTTTGCATGTAATGCGTTTATATTAGTTTCCCCTTATACGTTGCATTACTGAAATAAATGAACTTTTGCACGATATTCTAATTTTTCGAGTATCACCTGTATATGTGACCCACTGCATCACCTGGAAGTATACGTAGCCCAATTAATGTGAAGTAAAAGGTAATATACCAGGATACTTAGTTGCAGATAGATCTTAATTCAAATAAGTCTCTATCAAGTCGTGGTAGAGACAAAGTAGTAGTTTAGGTAAAAAAATTGAAAAATAGTAAGCATAGAATAAGTATGCTCCTGTGTACAAAGTAGTATATAACTAGTCAAAATGGTTATATAGGTGCTATTGCGACCATATACCAAGTGAGCTTTATTTTGATATGGCTCTAAGTATATCAGCTCTTTCCCTAATATTATTATTATTATTATTATTATTATTAAATCTTCCGTTATATACCGAAGGAAAAAACCTCTTTAAATTATCTAGTCAGTTAATACAATAAAGCCTGATACATCAGAGAATTATCCCTTCATGAAGCCCTTAGTATAAAGGCTTATAGTTCCTGGTCAGGTAACAATGTATCAAAAAGGATACAATCTGTCATCAAGATGATAGTGTTAGGATAGAGAGTAAAGATTTCAATGAGCCCCACTTGATGAGCCCTATTCCGTTGTATGCACCGTCCCGTATGAGGAGCTATTGCAGTGGCTCTTCACTCCCTTCACTCCCAGGCATCTCCTATGTCTTAGTATGGAGTATCTAATTGAGTGATCGATACCACAGCATCCATGTATCAATAGAGTACATACATACATACATACATAGATCCTGTCTCTCTAATATACATAAAATCGGTCATATTGTGTTTAGTGTCCCTTATAGGAGCTACTTCCATTTTTCATGAACAAATATATGTTATCTATACATATGAAATGTGTTCATTAATAATTCCACTAATCATTTGGATTTAAGGGAGAAATACATTATATTATAAAGTGCATGTAGCTGGTATTTATAAGTACATATGCGTGGTATGTGTGATCTAGTATAGAGGTGGCATAAATAGGTAGACATAGGGTATATGTGTACTAGGTAATATATTCCTCACTATGTATCAGTGAAGTATCTCTTAAGTTATATATACTAAGTGGAATAAAAGGATTGCATATCAACAAACCAAGGTATTAGGTGATTGTAAAAAATGATAAAATTAAGTATACACACAATTAAAGCTACTATTTACATTATATACAAGCGTAACTGTCCTAGGAATATATAGGTAATGTAACTATTCAGGGATGAATGGTGTATATGAAAACCCCTCATTCAGCCCTAAAAGGACAAAAGGACCAGAAAAGAGTATTGTGCATGTGTTTGGAGCCTGCTTGTGGGATTGTGTGTTTGTAGAGTGCTGATTGTGGTGTGGTTTTGTGTTAATAGGTTGGTTTCAGTCATGTTGTGTTTGTGGTGCAATATGTGTGGCTAGGTGCTGTAGAGAGTTTGTGTATAGGGTGCATAGTGTGTATAGGGGATGCAGCGAGTGTGTGCATACGGGCTGTAGTGTATGTGTGTATAGGTGACGTAGTGTGTGTAGGGGTTGTAGAGAGTGTGTGTTTAGGGAATATAGTATGTGTACAGTATAGTAAGGAATCTAGTGTGTGCATAGGGGATCCAGAGTGTGTATGTCAGAAATGTAGTGTGTGTGTTGGTGGTGCAGTGTGTGTGTGTAGGGGATCTAGTGTGTGTTTGAAGGACCCAGAATGTGTATGGTAGATCTAGTGAGTGTGTGTGTGTAGATGGTTCAGAGTGTATATAGGGATCTAGTGTGTGCATATGTGTTGATGATCCAGAGTTGGGTAAGGGATCTAGTGTGTGTCTGGAATGTAATGTGTTCAGGGGTGCAGTATGTGTGCGAGGGGTTCTGTAGTATGTTTGGAAGTATTGTGTGTGCGTGTTTTTGGTGCAGTTTGTTTGGGGGTTGCTGTGTGTATGTGTAAGGTGTGCAGTGTGTATGAATCGTCATTCTCTATCTCTACCAGCACTGTTCCCCTGCGTGCCCTGCAGTGATGCCAGGAGCCAAGATATGACCTCACTCCGGCCCCAACATCTCTAAATGGTGCATGAGGTTCCGTGCTGGAAGACAACATGCTCTTAGAAATTACTCTATTAATCTATTTAAATATGTATTTTTATGTTACACCCATGTGGTCAAAATATGGTATTTTTTTTACAATTGGAGTCTCATCTGTTTTTAATCTGAATCTGTTTATACAATTAATACGTTTCCAAACTTCAGTTATGAATGTTGCTATCTTGTGGTTTAATATTATATGTTGTTACATGCATCTTTATTTCAGATTGACAAACCTGGAAAATCTTCCTTACTGATTCAGGGTAGGTCAACCTTCTATTTGCACTTTGGAGAGTTGGTTGGGTTTGGTCTCACCACCCTCTTTTTGGCAACGAGCTATATGCTCTCAGATATACTTTAACTTTCAGACCAGAATCCGTGCCATGCTGATGAGACCCACAAGATAAAAACTGTATACACTGCTTCTGGCTATTGGTCCTTCTAGTTCCCAATTCTCAACTCCCAACATCTTAAAAAAAGATGTCTTTAAATCTGTCCATTTCTAACGGTACCTGCAGAAATACACAGTAAAGTCTGAAATAGGATACCCATCTGTGCTCATTTGCATGTCATTCAGGGAACTCTGGGACAGTTGTTGTAATGGAAGCGTCTGTTGGAGCGGAATCAAGGTCAGCCTCCTTCAAACCAACTATGGGTTCGGGCCTGGCAGGGGGTATCTGCTTTGGGGATGCGAGTGCAATGGGGCCATTCAGATTGCGTTTCCCCGGGTGCTGAAGGACCAATGGGCTCTGTTGGGATGTTGGGGTTTTGTGTTTTGGGGGAGGGGGATTTGCAGACTGTCTTGCACCTGGCTGAATTTATGGAAGAGTGTGTTTTGTTATGCAGGTTACCTGGCATTGGCTGTTGTTTGTGTTTGCTATCATTGGGTTGATGTGGTAATTCCTCCGTAGTGTGGGTGGTCGGTTGGTTCCTGTGGGGTCTGGGTTTGCTGTGTTGTCACCTCCAGGCTGCAGGGTGCTGGGAGGGAGTTTCTTGTGCTGTTGTTCCCCTGGAGCGTGGATTCATAGTCCTGTAAGTCTTTGTGGATGTAGTTTTCTCATAGGGCTTGTGCTCTTCCATCCTGTTTGTCTGGAGGAGAGGTTTGAAGTGGATATGTGTGCATGCGAGTTCGTGTTTGACCCTCAAGCATTCAATGTGGGGTGTAGATATATCAACTTCAGCAGACGATACTCTGATATCAATCGGGAACAAGTAAGAGGTTTAGTGGTCAGTGGTTGGCAGGAGGAAGCTAACTCAAGCGGTTATATCCAGCCAGGATACCGAGACCCACTACAGCTATGGTAACATGATTTCTCCAGTTTATTCTTAAAGCCCTACTTGAGACATGCAGGTGATGCTTAACTTCATTTTTCTCTTTGCACTGTGAATAATTTTCTCTTTGCACTGTGAATAACACTCTCTTTGGTACCTACTTGATTCATGTTGAGATTCCGTTGAATTTCCATGATACATCTTGACATGTAATAAATCCAAACAGACAGCATAGTATACTAGCAGTGCAGTATGTTTCTGATGCGTTGACTTGGGATCTAGGGCAATCCCCCTTCCATCTCAGCAATTCTGTATTGACTCCAGCATAGAGGTACGTTCTCAGGGATATTATTTCACTGAAACCATACCAGAAATCTACTTTTGGTTTAACCGACTTCCCTCTGATTTTAATTTTGAGTTCCCATACCAGCGTATAAACCAACCAACTGGTAGGGAGTGCAGTTAATAACCATGGAGATGACATAAAACAAATGCATTTGCAAAACATATGCTTTAATATTCACCAATCATTTTTTTTAATATTTCTATTGCAAGTGTTTTTGACGCATTACACCTTATCATTAATGTAACCACAAATTTATCATAATACTTTTTAATTACAATTATTTATTGCCTGTTTGGAGCCAGCCCTATGGGTCTAGACTAGAGTATTGCATTAATTAGATAAAAAACAAAACAACAAGCATTAAAAAGTACAAATGATGGAACGGATTTAGACAATTTCTTGAACGATATGGCTTTATAGGTGCTCAGATAAATCCACCCAAATGATTTATTTCAGGCATGTGAAAACACAGAATATAAATGATCTCCATAATTTAATTTAATTTGATCCCCGAGGCATATGTCTATCATTTCCCCTCATTATCACAGAATCCATAACGTGAAATCTTTGTTTACCTACTTGATGACCCAATTCAACTAAATACGCCAGCATATTCAACATTTTTAACATCAATATTTGATTTGCGCTGGTTGATGCTTTCCCTGACTTTTCAAATAATCTCTCCAACAGGCCTCCG